TTAAACTATGCTGTTTTGTTCTTCTTTGCCTAAAATATACGCTTTTGAGCTTTGGTAGTTAAATTTTGCAAATAATGTTACAGTACTGTATATTTGTTTAATACTGGATCCCCAGTGTGTATCTACTGTTATTGGATAGCCCTTTCCTTATTCTTACAATCTGACATACTGAAACCATTCAGAACTCAGGGCTTCCCCCATAATCAAGTGTGAATGAACATGTAAACTTAGCCAAGTATTAACAGAACTTGGCCTTTCTTCTACACACAGCAGTTCATGCTGCTGTGTGAACCGTGGTTGGCGTGACAGAGGTAAAAGGCAAACAGCATGAAGAGTAAAGAGGACCCAAACGAGACAGGCGGGAACAGCCCATACCTTGGGCAGAGAGCTACAGCTGAAAAGGGAGGAAGGAACATTAATAGCCACCATATGTCTGCATATTCTGGGGTCTCCGGCATAAATTTCATTACCCAACGCACAAAATGGACTATCTAAAAGACGTGTGTAACGTGGCCTGAGACAGCTACCTTGTGAAAAGCCGGCCGTTATGTGTGAGAGCCACAGCCTGATCTGTCACGCGGAGCTTTTTAAGGAAAAAAGGGGTAGCAGCTGTTTGGTTCACCTGTCCTGTCCTGTACACGGCTCTCCATCAACCCAGCGGTTAGTGTACTCACAGGCCTGCACCCACAGACATGTTCCTCCACAGTAATCTCAGATGTAACACTCCTATCTAAGGCGACAACATTTACAAGACCACAGCACCTCTGCTGTGTGCAATTTGTGTACTTGTACAATTATATGGTGTTCCATTTGTATGAGCACACTGGTTATAGTCAGAGAGATATCCATAAACATATTGTAGTGTATGGCCTTTAGCCTGCCTGCACTTGGTATCAGGCCATGTTTTTCCACTGGACAGTGAGTGGGATAAATCAACTAGGAAAAACACTGTACTGATGTTTTACAGACTATCCGGCTGCTGTGAAGGCTAAGATACATGATCATGGATTTATTGCTGGTAATTTTCAAGTGCCTACTAGTCAAGGAGTTGGAACTTTTTTGTCTGAGTTCACTGTGGGGAAGTCTTTAGTGAAAAATATGCACAGTGCAAGTGTGTGATTGAATTAAATTTAACTGTTTGCACATATGTTCCCTTGTTTAAGGAGGAAAGTTACTACAGCACTGCTTAAGCCATGGATTATCTGTCTGTGTCCTCTGCCTCTTTAGCATCAACATGGATTCACCCACTCAGAGTCTATCACACATCCACAGAGCTCCCTCAGTGAGCACGGACTTCAGGGAAGCCCAAGCAGTAGGGGGACTTCAGCAGAGCTGAGTGGAGCTGGTAGTGGTTAAGCCCATGGGTATGGCCCTCTCACTCTCTGGCAACCACTTTGTTAGGCACACAACACTAATCCTCCTTGTGTCTTTATTGCCCTCTGTGTAGAGGAGCAGGCTGGGGCTGGGGGCTTGGGGTGGTGGGGGGAAGGGGGGCACTGCTGCAGGGCCAGTATCATCAGCATTCCTGTTTGAAGATAGGCCACGTTGTACAGCATTAAGGCATCTATTAGACACAAGCTGAGAGCAAAACGGGGTGACACTCAACTGAGACAGAGAGGCAGAAAGAAGAAACGGGAGAGTCACTTTTTACACCCCCACCCACACACTACCAACAACAACAACCATCATCCACCCCCCTCCCCGTAAAATTGTATGGGTAGGGGCATAATTTGAGGATAGGCAGATTACTGCGACCAGAAATGACTGTGAGGCAATTCTGGTTCATGTTGTAACACATACTCAATAATCTAAACAACACATTAATGTGCTGCTTTAATTTGTAATATTTCTCTGTGCTTGAAAACAATTTGTCATGCATTGGATTTGGGGGAATCTCATTTTGGATAAAGCATTTAACACAAATTGTTTAATGAATGTTGAGATTTGCAGTACATCTAAATGTATCTTTGTTCAGCTGATTTGCCAATATATTCTTTAACATACATCTGAAAACTTGAAATGATTTGACAAGAAGACAGCTAGTTTATTTTGTTATATGTTTGTTGTGTATTATTTTCTTTTTATTATTTACAGAGATTATTGTTGGAAATATTCTTACAAAGTTGGCCTTGCTTTTTAGATGTAGCTTACAAGCTAACTATCCTGCACAAAGTTGAACTCACTCAGCTGGCGCCATCTTGTGACTGTGTGGCACTGCTTGCTGCTGACACAGGTGCATAAAATTCAATGTCACCTTTTCTCTCAGATCTCTTCACTGTCCTCCAGCTGTCACCTGAGCGCTTGGCAGCGTAAGGTAATAGCATCAAGATGCAATCAAGATTATATGCTTGTCACTCATTCCATGCACTCACTGGCTTACAGTGTGTGAAACAGACACAAGATAAAGCCTGTGCACAGATGGGAAGATAAACCGCTCCTAAATATTCATCAGTTTTTTGAGCACAGTAATGCAAGCCCTGAATGAATGCTGCCATTAGATCACTTGCAAAAGTAACCAATGAGCAAAAAGTTGGACAGAATTTGTACAAATGTGCCTAAAGTATGAAAATAAATAGAAAGAAAACATCTGAAATTTTTAATCTCTCCCTGTAGAAGCAAAATTTTTGTAACCACTTTGAATTTTGTGGCGCTCTTCCTTTCTGGGGATGTGAAGCAGGGTTTGCAGCTGTATATCTCAACTGAACAGAGCCTCTGCTTGTAAGCTACATCCATATTAGCAGTTTATTTCCATGTTTACACCGTTTCATTTTCTTTGCAATAGTAACAGGATTACTTTGTGACAAACAGTAATTTGTGGAATTCCCTCATCTTAGTTTAAGGATTTTCTTTTTCCTCTGTCCCCATCTTATATAAAAAAATGTTTCTGTGTTCTCTTCTCCCTGGAGATTTGATTCCAGAAGCCCTTCAGGTTTTCGAGCAGACCTCTGTGAAGGGCCAGATAAAGCAGAGCAAGGCCTGGTGCAGGCAAGAGGGAGCACAGGAGAAATAATAATACCCACACTTTTACTCCACAGGACAATCTCACATACAGCAGTAGAACACACATTTATACATCATTATAATGTGTTGCCATGCCACACCTATGGCTGTATCATGCCAATGTGCTTTTTTTTTTTTTTTGTAGTTTTTAAAAAAATGACGCATACAGCTAACCTTTTTCCAAAGCATCCTGATGTATTTTATAGTTCTTAGTAGTCAATAAATGCCACAAAAGGACCAAATGTGTTAGTTTCTGAATTCATTCCAACCTCCCTACCCTCTCTGTTGCTCTCAGCCCCAAGCTCATGGTTTTCTACTAGTGCATTTCTTGGGGATTATTTTCAGCCATGGATTAATATGCATTGGTGAGCATTTGTAACAGCGAGACAGTGTACAGTGTATATCTCAAAATAAAAATACAGTGCTTATGTCCATTGTAATGAAGGTACATGTCAACAGTGAGGATCAATTTTCATTGAATTTGTTGATAATAAAAAAATGCAGAAATTAACACCCTTCTTCTATAATGTGCCTTTGTTATATTCCAGGTGTTGCTTCCATTCATAGTTTTGTATGAAAATCTACTTGTAAAAGCATGAACCTTTCTTGAGATAAAAGATAAAGCCCAGTACAAATCTTTTGTTTTCCGTGACATTGTCATCCTTACAACTGTGTCACAAGTCGCTTTAAAACATTTCGCCAGTGTGATCATGCACTTTAAGATTACATACTGAAAGGATTTAGTAAAGGTACATAAGTGAATTAATATATGGAAATTAGCTTGAGTGCCACCGTGGGTCTGGTTCAGTTCATCCCCACCTGCATATGTTGATTTCTGCTGCCTCTTGGATTCACTCACAGGCACGCAATAAACAACCTGCTGCCAGCACCCCCTACGCTTTTGTCTAATCTGCCATTTCACTGGGCTCTAGTTTGTCGCACAAATATAAAAGTGAATCTCAGCAGCAGAATGCACAGAGGCACATTAACTGGGATAGGTGCCTGCACACTAAAGCCCCACACAAGTGTATGATTTACACTGGAATATGATTGCAATAAGAGTTCAGTACAGAAGTTCTTAGACAGCTCCTGAATAACTTGGTGATGTTGGTGACCTGCTGTTGTTTATAAAACCACATTCATTGCATTACTGAATTATCCCTTATTTATTCCAATCATAAGCCAGCAGGGATAGAAAATGCCTTTTTGGTATTGTCTGAATGACAAACTGTGTTGTTTAATTAATGCAGGCTTCTTTTTCAAACTTCTGTTGACCACCTTTCCCAAAACTTTGGTTAATGCTACCACCTACTGGAAGAAAGAATGTACTGGCTATTATCGGGGGCCACAATAAGAATCATGTATTCATGCATGTATGCAGCTGATACCACACAGTAAATGTAATTTTACTATCTTATGAGTGTGTCTAATACCACCAGGAGCAGTTAAATATTTTAGACCAAAAGCTAGTTGTAGTCAGTACACTGCACACAGGTGGTGATTCTTTTACAGTGTGCATGGAAAGTCTGGTTTCCAGGGACATCTGCTTTTTTCTCTCAGTGCAAGTGTATTTTCTTTGTATTTGTTTTACTTTTTGTGTCTTTACATGTGTTTTGGCATTGGACTGCAGGGGTAGCAGAGGATGTTGAGCATTCTCTTTGAAGGAGGATAGAAGGGAGCAGTCTGGCAACCAAAACATCCAACAGGAAGTTGTTATCAATGTCAGCAACCAGAAACAGTGCAACATGTTTTATGTCAGTGTAGCAGGTATACAGAGGAGAGACTAATAATGAATGCAAGGTGTATATATATATATATAATGGACATCAGGGAATTACTAACAGGGTGCTAGATTTCTTAAAATGGACAGGGTAAATTGATGGGATATAGGGTAAGGTCCAGTTTGATCCATACTCCACCTTAGTAGATGCATAAGCACCTGAAAGGTAATTTGACAGTTGCACAGAAGGGGCACTAATGCAACAGTCCCTGGATGCCAACGCGCCATAAAGAAGAAGAAGAAGAAGAAGTCTCCCGTTAAAGTGTCATTAAAGAGCTGCACATTGAAGTTGGTGTATTTGCTCCTGGTAGCAGCACAACTGCAAGGCTAAACATGGCAGGAAAGAGAGCATTAGTAATCCTGTCTAAAGGTGCAGAGGAAATGGAAACTGTCATTCCTGTGGACATCATGCGAAGAGCTGGGGTTTGTAACTCGTCTGTAGGCGTAATGACTGGCCGTAACGTTAGCTAAATAATGCGCAGACCAACAGAACCTAGCCTGCTAGCTTGGGTTAAAATTGGCTTCCCCTTCAGTCACTTCAGAACACTGTAATGATTTTAACTTTTTATTGGTCTCGACAGCTTTGTTAAGACATGAACATGATGCAAATAGACGTTGAGCAATAAGTTGGACTTTTAACAACATAGCCTAAATGAACCTGCTAACTTTACTGAGCTAACAGGAGCAGGTAGTTACAATTTGACCGCTTATTGATTAGATTTTTGCTAGAGTAAGTTATAGTTTGTCCTTGGTTAACTGTAGACACACTCAAGGCTTTTAAAGTGAACGCAGACCGAGGCCAAGTATCAAGGTCCAGCAGATCTCCGCCATTTGATGGCGACTTTTATTTTGAAAGCTGCCATATACAGACAGGATGCCATGTCATGCCATTATGCTGATGCTCTGCTTTTTATATTTGCTAAACGAACTTGTAGATTGCAGTGACGGTTGCAGGACTAACGGGCAAAGAGCCAGTCCAGTGCAGCAGAAACGTCGTCATCTGTCCAGATGCTAGCCTGGAGGATGCCAGCAAACAGGTTGGGCTCAGTATCTACACTTGCAAAAGAGTGGGCACCCCTATAATGTTGAGTGTAAATACCCCCCACCCCGAAATTAAAACCAAGCTTTACTTGAAATCATAATGCACTGTTGCTTTAAAAATAAAATAGAAGAAAATGTAGCAGTACTTGTGGCATGTGCACAAGGGTGGGCAACCTACTGAGCCTGTACTTAGTAACTCCACTTTGCCAACTGTAAGGGGTGTAAATCTTTTGCTTTGGGGTTGTGTAGCAGCCAATGGCACAGGCAACACTGCTGTAAATAGCAGCAAATCTGGATTTAAATGTCATGCAGTGAGTCAAGAAAGTGAAACAGAAAAAGGGGCAGTGAGCCAAAGTAGACCTCAAACTCCACTGTGAACTACTTCAAGAAATACAAGCTGAAGGTCTTGGAACAGCTCCCACAGTCCTCAGACTTGAACATCACTGAAAAATCTGTGGGTGGATCTTAAACATGCAATGTATGTGTGCAAGACAGCCCAATAAATCTCAGAAAATGAAGTGGTCTGCAAGAAAGACTGAAAATGTCTAAAGCAAAGCATAAAATCAATAAAAAAATCTAAGTTCTCCAGGAGTGGCTAAAGTTTTGCATGCAGCTGTAACTCCTAACACTGTCATTACATGTTAAAATGGTAGACTAAAGCCAGATTTAAGCACTCTTTTATTTTTTATTGTATATGTATGCATGTCTATGTTTTGTTTGATTGATTTTTTCTAGCAGCCAAATAGTGATGGCAGGTGTTATGCAATGTCAAGCCTTATTATCCTGTATCTGTTAATGGTTTGTCTCCCAGGGCCCTTATGATGTGGTGCTTCTGCCAGGAGGTATGCCAGGGGCCAAGAATCTGGCCGAGGTGAGATGTACTCAAAATGCATCCAAATATACTGTATCAATCATCATGTTTCACTCTGGGAGGGTTTCAAGCTCATGGACCAACTCAACCAGTGATTCTCAGGCTTTCTTTGTTATGATGCCCTCTTGTGGAAGCAAGGAAAAATGTCACCCCCCCCAGAACCCCATGTAAAAATATACATTTATGCAAGCAACTGTAGAAATGACTACAGAGTCAATAAGTAGTCAATTAATAGATTAGCCAATTGACAGAAAATTTTTTGGGTTGTAGACTGTTGCTCATACAAAACAAAGTATTTGAATGAAAAGATTATTATGTGGATCTTCATTTTCTTTTATAGACAAATAATTGATGAATTGGAAAAATACATCAAAACTACAGTAGGTATCAGTTAAATAAAGGTATGGATATAATTAGGATTAAACATATTGTGTGTGTGTGTGTGTATACTGTATGTATATGGATAGTGTTGTTTTTAGTGCCATTGATTATAGTCGCATCCTTTTCTAAAAATACATTTTGAGCTTCTGAATTGTAAATATAAGAAATTTACCCATTTCTGACATATTCTCTCAAGTCAAGTCTAATTTTATTTGTATTGCCCAGTATCACAAATCACAAATGTGCCTCAAGGAGCTTTACAACATATGCATCATACGACACCCTCTGTCTTTAGACCCTCGAAATGGGATAAGGAAAAAGTAGCCCCCAGAAAGAAACCTCTGGAAGAGCAACAGAAGCAGGATCCCTCTTCCAGTGGTGGTATAGAGTAGTGTCTGCTGCTTCTTTGTGTTCTAATGTAGTAAAAGCTACTTGACATAATGCAATTCAATATTTTAAACAAACACATCTGATAGATGAGACTGGGCAGGGATCATGTTTGTTATGAATATTACCGGTACTGTTTTTGTTTAATAAATCTGTGGATTTATTGACACAGTGAAAGGTTATTTTGATGTGTTGAAAACATTTCTGTGTGTACTGAAGATGATAGCATAGTCAGCATTCGCACTGTGTAATCACATGGCCTGCAAATGACTCACAGTGCATTTGGTTTTTTATGCTTTCTTGCAGTCTCCTGCTGTGAAGGAGGTACTGAAGGATCAAGATGGCAGAAAAGGCCTGATTGCAGCCATCTGTGCAGGTACAGTTTGTGAAAACAAAGTCATAATTATACAGCACCAACCACTAATAGTGATGCCTTTCTGTGGGCTAAAATTGTAGTATGACATGACCTCAGTTTTGACCAATATGTACTTGCTTTTAGTCAAATTGACATCAATTACCTGACCTACATAGTGTAGTTTATTCTGATGGTTGCTGTGTAAAATAGCATCTTCAAGTAACTGAGCAATGCTTACACCTCACATTCACTTTCCATATCAAATCAATCCATTCTGACAGTTGACTGATAAGTTAGTAAACTGTGCACTTTACTACAATGTTTCTTGTAAACATTTTTAAATAGAAATTACACTAAAGGCCTGACATCTCATTTTAGACCTATCAGATTAATGTTGTGCCAGTAAATGGGATTTGGATTCGCTCACAATTAGAATTAAAGATCTTAATCAGAGGAAAGGTGCAGTGTTTATATTCACATGGCAATGGATTCAGGGGATTTTCTTATTTTTTAGTAACAAGTTGTGCCCTTAAGAGTTTATCACACACCTTAACTCCATTTAAAAAACATTAACACTGTTAACAAACATGCTTCATTAATTTATGGTCGTTTGCGTCCATGTTTGGCATTTTGAATTGCATTCGGTGACTTCCATTCAAATTCAACTGAACTACTGAACTTGAGCTGAATTCACTCACTCATTGAAATTGAGTTCAAATTCAAACAGACATTTTGAATGATTTGAATTGAAAGGTTCAGGGTTTGATTAGTAACTGTCCCTGGGTGAACTGACTGACATTTTATCTGACAGCCTCAGTATGCAGAGAAGGACACTGCAAGGACATTTTGAATAGAAACAGGGGACCAGTGCAGCAAAGTGAATTGTTGGGTGTCCTAGAAAAGGACTGAAATCCTCACAGGAATACAATGTAATGAAACCTGCCAGCAAGAGGACTAGTTACGAGTCTCTATTTCGTCCCAACATGAAAATGGTCTTGACATGTGTAAAAGGTTTGTTCAGAAGGGACTTTAATGGGGAAAAACTAGAACATATTCAGTGTTAAATTATATCACGATGAGTTATATATTGCATACTTCTCGTTTTGAGCTAATATTTGTTATATGCATGTACAAAAAAAACACAGATACATAATTTTTAGGCTGCATCAGAGAATGAACATAGCCTCACTGTTGGACTTGGTTCTCAGAAGGTCTCTCTCTCCCAGACTGGTGTCCTTTGGGTAGGGACTGTAACAGGAGTAGCTTGGCTTTAACTGGCAGTCTGCTGTTTAGTCAGGGGAAAGTGTAATCTCTAGGCTGAATGGGAAGGCAGCCAAGGAATATAATCAATAACTTTCTATTTATTAACAGTTTTTATATGAGCTCATTGCAGTAGTAGGACATAGACAAAGTTAATGCAGCAGCAGCAGCAGCAGCAGTCAGTGTCTCCAGCCTCTCCTTTTTTCCTCTCCTTTTCAATGTGGTGCAGAGTCTTTGGACAGAGGCTGAAACTGTATACTGCATGTACGTATTCTTAGAAACAATGGTGCAGGACATGACACCATAGGACATAATGCGGTCATCTTGTTGTCATCAGTACTTGTGCCATTCATTTATTATACTTACTGCAATCCCTAATGTCAAATGTAGCAATTTCTGTGTTTTGATTTTCTTTGTATGATTTTCACATTATGTGTACAGCTTGAAGTAATTTGAGGGTCTTTTTTTAAAAAACTTGACTTTGTAGCCTTTTCTAAACTGCATAAAGATGAAATGTGGCCAGATACTATATTATAACAAGATGTTTTTAAGTGTCACTTTCTAAGAGGGAGCTGTTAAATGAACCTTAAACAAATTTGCCCTTCTGCAGGTCCCACTGCTCTACTAGCACATGGCATTGGCTATGGCAGTACAGTCACTACGCATCCTGCCATGAAGGAGAAGATGATGGCTGGAGGTAAAAAAAAAAGTAATTTATTGCAGACAAACTGGATATGGAATAACAGAGGACGTTGTAGTTATTTGTAAAGGGCAGCAGATGGTGCTGTACTAGCTCTTTCTTGCTTATAGAAGATCATGTCACTATGCAACAGGGGAGAGTACACCATTCAGGGTGAAAGTGGATGCAGGAATTTGATAGAACATACTAGAGAACTGGGTCAGTTGACACAGTGATAGATTATCTTTTTAAGTACATGAAGTACATAGTGTGCTCTAATGTGTGGCTCTTGGCCTTCAGCTTGAGCTCTCATATTGTGTTTATCCTTATGGTATTGCTTTGTCTTTTTTTAGATCACTATAAATATTCAGAGGCCCGAGTACAGAAGGATGGACATTACATCACCAGCCGTGGGCCAGGAACCAGTTTCGAGTTTGCCCTGACGATTGTAGAGGAACTTATGGGGGCTGAGGTTGCAGCTCAAGTCAAGGCTCCTCTTATTATGAAAGACTGAGTGTTAACTCACTCCTACAAGCAGCATTGTCCACTATACTAGTCTGGCAACACTGAGACAGCCCATCCAGTGTAGCTGGCATAGAGAGTCAAAGTCACTAGTGAGAAATCATTCTCCCCAAGGGACATGATGTTCCTGTTCTGACAGGTTATTGTCTTTGCTTGTCTTTTTAGTTGGCAGTGAAAGGCATCCTTGTGTCGTTTAGCACTGAGATTGAATTTGGATAGTGACTGCACAGGTATTTGAAATAAAATGAAATAATTTTGTTTCATTGTGTTTTTTTTCCCACCAATTGCTTGTTCATGATTTTGACAGCCTTTATTGTCTCAATTGTCATTAAAACATTCATGTGACGACTCTGTGTGTGTGTGTGTGTGTGTGTGTGTGTGTGTGTGTGTCTCACTCTACCGTATATCAATACTGGAGGTCACTGTGACTCGTGTTTCCCAAGCCTGCAGTAGTGGTTGTCAGCTAAATTTAGGCTGCATAATGTTATGTATTGTGAGCACTACCTAGAACGCGGGAAGCAGAATCCGAATAGATCGGCAGGTTTCCTGGCCAATGAGAAAGCTATACCTGGCTGCAGTTGTATTCTAATCAACCAATGGCAGCGTTCTTGCATGTAGCAGGGCGGGGCTTTGGTGCAGCGCGTGGTAGTTGTGTCAGGGCAACAAAAATCACAGAGGGTTTTCACAGAGTCGAAAAGGAAAGGACGTTTTTCGCCAAAGGTAGAAGACTTTATGTGCTGTGTGGGTTTTTAACATCTTTGTCAATGATAGTGTTCTCCCCAAATGGGTTTACTAGCGTTTAGATATTTTCATTTTTGCTAATTAAGGTTGGCTAAGCAAATTTACGCGACGTTAATCACTGTAACCAGACACTAACGACACCGCACTTGGCACAACATTGTAACGTTACCGTTAGCAAATAACACGACAGAAATATGGAGAAATGGTACAGCATTAAAATACTGTATGTTTGTAACCAGATATGTGTTTCTTAGCTGTGATTAGCTTGCTAAGTGCTGACTGATGATCCTCAAGTTCGCTTCAAGAAATGGCATTACGAATTGACAACGGCGTCTAAAATTGTCCAGAGTAACGTTAGCCTGAGGTGATGTTCACTAGGCTACATATTCGTAGTTCAAGTTTGCGTTCACACACAACCAGTAGTGAATTCAGAGGGACACCGTATTTTAACAGTAAGAGATGGTTATGCAGATGTGACCCGACATGGAGACGTCAGTTCCAGAAGCTCCTTGTCCTTGTAGCAGCAGCCGCAGCCGCAGCCAGGCTGTAGTGTAGCTAATACAGTGCGGCAAAGGCCAGGTTAATTTGTCCATCAGTCCAAGACATCACCGCAACAGCGGGAAAAACGCTGTCAAATAGGTGCAAATGGCAAAATAATAACCTCAAAATCTTGTCTCTTGATCCAAATAAACATGACAACTGGAAATGTCATCATCTCGAGGTTACGTCACGTTGATATCAATAACAGCTGTCATTTAAACTGGTAAATGACTTGTCTTCATAGTGACATGCACAGTTGTCATTAATTTAAGCAAATACCTGAGTAGAGCCTGTCTGCTTAGAACAACATTTTGCAACCATCTCAGAGAGAGAGAGATTATCATTGACCCAAGGCTGTCAAAATTATGCTCATCACTTTCGTTAGAGCACTCTACACAGGAAGAGTTAGAGGTGTTATCTTTCATTTTACATAGACAGGAAATACAAGGCAAGTTCTTTTCTGCTAGGCTGCGTTTTCCATTGCAGGGAAACCGCCTCTTAGTCATTTTTAGCAAAGCATGCAGAACCACAGCCAGCCAGGGGTCATCTGAATATTGTAGGAGGGCAACTCATCTACCTATGTACAACCAAACAATAGTGAGCAAAAAAAAGACTGCAAAGCTCTGTTTCTGTTACAGTGCATCAAGAGAGCATTGTATACTGTTAAAATCTTACCACTTCAACATCATGAGTGTGAACCTGCAAATATGTTCAGGATAGTTGTTTGCCCTATGATGTTCTTTAACATTTGACAAGGGCATGTATGCCTGTCATGTTGAGGAAACATCATTGCATTGTGTGCTTGAGCTAATATGTTTTATTTCTGTGTTTCAAAATGAAGAACTAATCTTTTCCACTCCCTGAAAGACAAATATTATCGCTAAAATTATATCTTGATGACAGTTGTCTAGCACAGTCTCATTACTACTGTGTGTTTCATTTGGATATTTATGGAACGTTAACATTTAGCCTTGTTGCGCATAACACGTTATGAATTATTCTGCTTGAGCGGTCGTACAGTAAAAAGCTTGAGGCTTGACTCCCTATTTCTGGAAGGGGCAGAAGAGGGAGGGCTGGGGGGAGGAGGACAAGGCTGAAGTCACTGTGACTGACTCATTGGTTTAGCTAATGATGCAATTAGAGTGCTGCACTTTGCATCTCCTGATTAGATCCCCTACTTGCGTTGGCCTGGAGACGGTGAGGCTGAATTTGGTTTCCTGAATTGCTCCAGCAGATACATTTCAGGAGGTACTAGGCAATTTGCAAGCAACTGGGTTTTCACCAAACATCACTATTGTCTGTGTCATCATCAATGAATGGATGGATTTGTCCATCTCTGCCGGTTTTCTCAATGTGGAATTTAAATTACAGCTCTTGGTAAATACACAAACTAACAGTGCATGAGAGCTATTCCTAAACTTTGGAATAAATTAAGACTTTTTGTCAAATTAGGCTGTAAACTTTGCAAGATTACTCTCTCAGCATACTCACTTTTAACAATGTGTATTTTAACATAAAGTACTATTTTAGCAATGGCAGACAACATGCTTTAAACTGACCAGTAGGAGTGGGTTTGTTTTTAGCAACCATTTCCCCCGAGGTCATTAATCCAGGGCACTTTGTTTGTCAGAAAATTGATGGCAATTGCTAATGCGAAGTGCACAATTTGTTAGCTCATTTTTAGAAGACAGTATGGTAAGGTTATTGCATAGATACTTGTATCTTGACCATTTTCAGGTGTAAAGGTTTATAAGTAACACTGGACCTGGCTCTCCAGAGTTAAAGTTTTCATCCCGTTGTTAGGTTGTACACACTCTGTCTTGTAATTAGTGTTTCCATAAACAAAAGAGGGCTTCAGGGCTACTTAGAGGCATAACATGTATTGGTATGTAGTGGCCATACACTATATTAGTATTTGCACTGACTTTATTAAAGTAATGGATTATTGCGCAGATGTGACATATACACATTAAAGACTAGCTGCTCCATGTATCTGCACTTTATTTGGTTTGTCCTTTGGTCATGTACAATTGGCAGAAGTAAGCAGGTATGGCAGAAGCTCCTAAGCTAAAACAGGAAGAATATTACCTTGTTTGTTGAATGGAATAACTTTGGTCATCTGTCTTCTGTATTTTAGTAAAGATGAGCAAATACACAGACAAGTGCAGATGTCCTGTGGTGATTTGCTAGCTGTGGGGCAAACGTCAGTGGGCTCTATGGCGCAAGCGTTTCACTCATATATATGCAAGTAAAACTCAGTGTGTTAATGTAAAAAAAGTGTTTGGACAAACTGATGTGACTAACTCTGAATTCTTAGTTAGTGACACTAACTAATTAACAATGCTAGGTTCTGTATATGCAATAAAACCTAGGAGGAAAAAAAGCCAATAAGAGTCATTTATCAACACCTGATAAATGAGCATAAACATGATCATTTAAGCCTTGCCACACAGCCCGCTGTCCACAGCAAGTATGTGTTAACTATAGTGAGATTGTTAGGCTTATAGATAACTGTTTAGATGTGGCTGTGTCATTGTGATCTTATATCCTTTCTGTGCTTCACTTTTGGTCCCATGCACACTTGGCTTCAAGCCGAGTCTCCCGTTGGATGAGCCACATAACTTTTGGTTGGCTCCGTGCACACATGAATGGGATAGAATAAAAATACTCTATGGCTATAGTACTAGACTTTCCAAATGATATTATGTGACACTGTGAAAAATTAACAGCTACTTCCTTTCCAATTATTCTCAATGGGAAAATTTATTTTTGGGCCAATGTACATGACATGATGAATGTAGAAGTTGTAGTAATGCAGTTTGGCTGTTATGCAAAATTTGCTTCACAACCCAGTGCCATTCCTGGGGTCTTTTTTAGTATAATACTTGTGTGGGTAGAAGTGAATCATTTACTGCTTGCAAACCAATGATGGTAAGATGATGTCATGGGGTAGGACTGGATAAGTCTGACTTCTTCCTACTCCATTCAAGCATGTACTAGGTATAAGCAAATTGATATTGGATTATGTGTAAAATTATGTGTGTTGTCATATCAACTGTTTCTACATGCTTGAAAGAATAAATCAAATCAAATCAATGGTGTCACCACAGTATTATGATCATATCATCAAGACTGGAGCTCCTTTGCTGTTATACTTGTGGATTATCATCTAAAAAGTTGTTTTTGATACAGTTTTTCTTCACAAACTACAGCAGTAAAATCATCATAGATTCTGTAACTGATTTGGATGTTGTACTCTTTAGAGTTGCAAGTTATTGGTGATTTCATAAACCGAGGTATGACCATAACTGTGGATTTGGTGAACTGTTACACCCCTAATGTATATGTATCTCAGGGCTGCTGTTGGGTGTGAATTTTGTAGTAGAGTTTATTGCATAGCAGTGGTTTTTAATCAAATGATTTTGTTGATTTTTGCAATGTGTCTAGATGACATGTCTGTGGCATAAGCACTGTACTCTGTGAACGGTGGCGTCTTTAGCAGCAGCATGGCATCACCACCCTGTTTTCTGGTCAGTCTGAGATATCATTTAGTACTGCATCTTTACATTCATCTTCATCCGCCAGGTCAGAAGCTGAATGAGAATCGGGTGGCTTTCTGTGTTATACAAGAAGGTAAATTCCTTTCATTTGCTTTGTTCTGTTTTGGTACTTCCAGTGAGACCATGCAAAAACAGGAATATTAAAAGCCTAATGGCCTTCTATTCAAAAGTACCCAAAGGACTTCAATAAGAGGATGAAAACCAGACACATTGTGCAATTGAAGTTAACGAAATAAAGTGGTTCTGTGTCTGTGCTAGGTGAACCTGAAATACGATCTTGTATATTGTTAGAAGTTGTTATATTGGACATTATGCCACCTACCAGCCACACTTCAATTAAAATGACTGGATTCAGTGAATCTGGACAGATCCCAGATCTGTGCTCATTAAAATTCTGGATGCAAGTTCCTACAGTATATAACCTTGCAAATATCTTGCTGGTCTACAGGTCTTCCTCCCTGTCTTGATTTACCTATTCATTATAATTTGGACAGCTTAGCAAAGTATCTGAA